TCAACAGCCAATCGCAGTACATCAAGTTAACCCGAGAAGTTCCACGCGAGGGCTGGTTACCGTACTTAAACACTCAGATAAAGGGTAACCAATGGACACTACAATGTAAAATGGTATAGGAAGGAGAGCTCCAAGAACATCATCATTCACGCAATGTCGGCTCACCCGAGGGCGGTTAAACGTGCAGTTGTACGAAACATGTACAAAACTGCAGTGGGGGTGTGCACCGGCAACGAGGAGCGAGAAGAATCCAGGAGACTAGCAACTCAGATAGCTAGTCTCAACGGATACACAGCTTGGCAGCAACGGCGTACGCGAAACACAGCGAGACCTTTCCCACATAGAGCTGAAGACAAGCTGTATCTTCAGCTACCGTTCATATCGGACCGCTTCACCGCAGTTATACAGCAGTGCCTCCGAAGAGCCGATTTGGCCAACGATGTTCTTTTGGTAAACACACCAAGAGAAAATATCAAACGTCAACTGGTCAGAAATCGCCTTTACGACCGAATATGCACCACGGAGAACTGCGTGATCTGTCCGTATGGGAAACTCGGTGACTGTACCCAACGGGCTGTCGTTTACCAAATCGAGTGTTTAACGTGTGGCGCATTATATATTGGTGAAACTGGGAGGGCATTAGGCATACGCGTGAAAGAACATCTAGCAAGCAAGCGAAGGGAAAGTTTGATTGCACCGCTCGGCAGGCATAGAAGAGAGCTCCATGATGGCTGTGATTTTAGCGTCAAGTGCATAATATTGGCCTACGAAAACGATGTTGGTGCCCGGAAAACCCTTGAGGCGTTCTGGATTAAGCACCGTAATCCATGTATGAATAACAGGAATGAGTGCATCTCAATAACGGCCGATTTCTTGCCCTATATTCCACTGTGTGAGCTCTAACAGTGAGAACATGATGCATTGCACGTGCATACTATCATCCTGTAGCAGTGCTCGGTCGGTCTCACTTGCTCCACTGTTGTGTCGAAATCGTTCGTGCTGGTGGGAGTGGAAAGGTTAACCTTGAAAGTTTTGGGTTCCTTTCGTTGGCTAGCTTCCTCCTGGTCCTGGGTTCGCAAACTAGTCAAGAACAGGTTCAGGTTGAACAGGATCGATAGCTTTCCTGAGTTTCGATATGCTTTCAGGCCTTTGATAACGACGATACTGTCGAAACGTCAGGCAAAATAAACACTTCCACCATAAAAACCTGTACGGCATAGTAAAGAAACATTGAGTGTTAGCAGCAATATTCGCGACCGCTTTTGGAATTGCCAATAGATTTTATATTTGGTTGTCTTGTACATTTTCCCGGAATATGCTGAAGATTTCCTGAAATTGGTCGATGTGAATAGAAGTCAGGGAGGTCTCGCCAACGTTCAGGAACTCACTGTGGATTGGTCCTATCATATCCTGCCTAAATGGGAGTGTGCAGTGAGGTTTTAGACTCAGCGAGGGTTGGTGGCTTTCTGCGTTTCTAGCTTGCAGTGCCTATTCAGTGCTATCACGCCTATTAAAATGCTAGCAGGCTGTTTGCCCTTCAATCGGTCATCCTACAAAAGTTATCCCGGTGAGCTGAAAGACAAAGCTTTTAAAGATTCTTTGGCGCTACTCCCTGTTTGTTTGAATCGAAATAATTTTACACAACTGCTAGTGGGTACACGTGTACAGTTGGTATCGTCTCAGTTAGTCGGGGCGGTACAAGAATGGAATAAGCCACCGGCAGCGTTTTCACCACTGGTGTCTACTTCCCAGATTCACCGATCACTATTGGTAGAGAAAGCCTCGAAGGCGAATTCATCCCGCCCTTCCTAGCACCGCCCCGACTAATTCCGACGATATCAGTAGTAATGTTTTGATAGCTTGAACTGTGTTCCGCGAACTTAGCACACCTGCAATGGTGTTCACTTTGTTTACACATTGTCTTCGATTTTTCGAAAAAAAAAACTTTTTTCTCCTTGAAAAACTTTTCCATCACCCCGATACTCCACCAAGTAGGGCTTTCAATTACATGTGTGATGTTTCTTGTGAGTGTTTTTATTTAGCTCGCATCTTCTCGCCCTATTATACTGGTCAAGTTATTTCCACTGTGGTTGCGACGAAATCATACTCAGCTCTTGCGACGTCCATCTACATTATGATAGTCATCTCTCTTGTGAGGTTGGTTAAAAGCTGATTGATAATCAGACGATGCACCATGTTAATTCTACAAGAATCTTCCGCACATTTGAAGTTTTTGACATGCTCGCAGCATGTTATCCAGATGAGGCGCCGCTAACTTTCAGCATTGGACGAGCATGCCATGAGTAAGTTGCGGTTCAGTCATGTCTCTGGAAATTCAAAGGGGCGTGAACTGGAGCGAAGCCGGGCAGTCTTTTTCACCAACTGCGGCATGTTTTTAGTCAGAGTAATACTGATTCTTGGAAAAGGCCATGGCTACGCTCCAGTCTGTGCCGGCCCCCACACGCCCCCTCTGCAATACTAATGACTGTATACGTCTACGTTTCTATTGAAACGTGAACGTATGCAAGTTTGTCCGCTTCGTTGGGTGAATAACAATCGCCTAACTTGGAGTCTGCCATATTTTTCTACACATAGGAGCTCAGCATAAGCTCTGGTTTGCTAGGTAGTAGTTGACGCCAAAGAAAAAACCAGAAGAACGTGTCGAAACCAGGCGGCCGAAATCTGAAAATCGTAGTCAAATAAAAACGCTCCCCCCCTCACTTGCCCTGAGTGTGGGTATCTGTATGATTTTAAGGGGAAGTAAAAGAATAAAGAGTTTTCTGGCCGATCATAGTCTTTATTGTAAGTGAGTTATCGCGCGTAGAAGGACGATCCGGGAGTGACCGTCAGCGGCCTCCTGGTTCTAGGAGATGCACGTATTTTTCTTTTAAGTGCAGCTTGAAAGCTTACAGTAAGAGTGCCTTATGTTTCGTAGTCTTTCCACTCTCATATACCTGAACATCTACGCGTAGACACTTTCAATACTTGCTTATTGCCATCATGCATCCACACATGTATTTTGGTCCTGATTGACCTGGTTACGTATGTGGGGTGAAAAAAAAACTTGGAATGCAAAATTCCAACCAATGTGGAATATGAGCTGTTAGGGATATAGCGTGAGAGTTTCCGAGAGTTAGCGGAGTTTAGTTCGAGAATCGGCTTCTGACTTTTGCTACCTACAAAAATGAAAACATAAAATTTCATATTGGCTGTCTACCGAAAGCTATTACAGTTTTGTTCTCTGCGGGAGCTGGGGCGTGTGAGAGCGGCAGGGTTCGGCGCGGCGTGAGCCCGTTCTGGAGCAGTATTCGAAGAAAGCTAGCGACAGGTTGTAGAAAACGAGCTGGCTCCACGATAAGGCCCTCTCCCTCCTGACATGTCCCAGCATGCCGAACAAGATTATAGCTCAGTGTGAAGTTTCATGGAAAGTTTCTCAGCTACTGTATTTATGTACAAGGAAGACTTGGGTATTGTGGGTGCTCTGAGACTTGGGTTTGATCTAACCCTGTTATGACGGCGGTTCAGTGGATTGAGCTATGTGACAGAGAGAGAGAGAGAGGGAGAGGAGGAGGGAGGGAGGGAGGGAGAGAGAGAGAGAAGCGAGAGGAGTACAACCTTTATCTGGCGAACGCAGAAAGAACAGTGAGTAACATGTGGTCTGTTTGCTTAACTACAACTCTGCCCCGCCCCCGAAGGTTGGGGTCGAAGTGCATCATCGGCGACGATGATATACCGCTGCGGTTAAAGGCAGCTGGCACGATAAATCCCCTAAAGACGAGTAGGATTAATACGCCTGGCAGGACGGAATTCCGCGACCCTGAGCAGGCGCTGCGTAGCGCCTTTTCCAAGGAAGGTACCCTTATAAGGCCCTATCAAGCTACAACATACCGACCCGAACGCCCACCACGCCCGCCCGCCCACTAACCGTACCTGATGCTCGTATTGCTTCATTTGCTAAGTAAAATATGCGAAGGCATTGGTATGAAGCGGCTGCGGTGCTGCATGGATATATGAGTACATACATGCAGCCGTACCTACCGTAGCGGTTATTGACAACATGCCTACGGGAAACTCGTCCGAAATTGCTTTTTAAGAAAGAAGGCTCCGCAGTTTTCGGCCGTTTCACTCCGTTTTTTCGACATTTTCCTACTATATAGCTTTGAAGCATTTTAGGCCGAGTACCAAATTATGGAGCCGGCCAAACCAACCAAACCACGGTCAAACCCTTTGGCTTTCAGTGTTTGTGCTCTTGAACACCTCATCGCAAAAACAAATGTTAAGCGTTCAGGCTAGCTCTCATGATTTCTTGATTTTCTGTGCTCCCACTGGATTCAACCGCACATACAGTTTTCTTTTCTGGAGTGAAGACATTCACCTTGTGTTGGATTTGAGCAGTCGTCATTAAAGCTAGTCGAAATATCGTTGACCAGCGAATGTGGAAATTTTGAAAATGTGGACTGAGCAGTGCAAAAGGTTCTGGAAGCACTTGAGTAACCAGGATTTCTTTTTTTTCTTGGTATCGACGTTCGGATATTCTGCGTTGGTCATCAAACTAGTCTTACTCCATAACCAGAGTCACGAAATGTGTGAGCTTCTGTCACTAGGCGGAAGTTCTGGTAATTGAAGATAAAGCGGGCTTTTGGAACATTTCTGAATCTAAAGGGTTATTGGGTTAAAGACATTCATCGACCAGCTGTGCTGAACAGTCTTGTCAGTGAGCTAAGTAGACTGATACCACAAGCGCCGAAATTCTGCAGATTCCGTGACTCCAAGATGCATGGAGTGCATTAAGGGCTTGTATCGCTCATGGTTCTGCCAGCCCATCAACACAGTCTCCTTCCCTCGGTGTTAGCCTCCACGTGAGAAGTGGGACTGCCGACGAAACCAATGTAAGAATACCATGGAGGGAATGATTCGCCAGACCTAGTATGCCACCGAAAATTGAGCACCGCATTTGGACCCTTAACCTCTAGGGTAACTATCTTCCTCATAACAATGAACTGACTCGGTCTTCGCGGCATATATGTGGCTTATTATTTTTTTTTGTTTTTAGCGCAATTGCTGCTGGATTCCGTGGTGGATCATTCGAGTATGCATATTCAAGAATCAATCGGGCCATAAGACACGATCTCTTCACGGGACTTATCAGGCAGGATGTCGCCTTTTTTGACGCCCACAAAACAGGTTAATCTTTCAGTTTCGATGACATAGTGCGCAATTATCGGTGATGCGAACCCCTCTTATATGTAAAATGAACATGGCGATAGTCTTAAAAGTGTACCACTCTCGCTACTCGAAGGTGCACGGAAATGAAGCAAGAGGGTAGAGATAGCTCGATCTTCCTCATATCTACACCTGATGTGCACGCCTCGTTGTGCACGCATTTTGCTAAGGAACAGCTTGCTTGTGGTTAGGTAGCCGCGTATGGAGTTGTGGGCGGAGACATGAACAAAATCCAGCCTCTACAGCCTCTAGCTGCGCTTCCGCTCCTATACTATTACTGGCAATGTGCTGTGTAAATGGGTATTCATCTACAGTGACGGGCCTGCTCTTCTGGCTCACGGAAAAAATCTACGCAGTAAGTATTCATACAGTGTGCCTTTAGATGGGGAAAAGCAAAGGGCATCATGGACTTCACCAGATAAACATAATGTTATTCAGTAAGATTGCGCACGCGTATATCTTCTTCACTACTCCCATGAAAAACTTTGAACTTGTTAGATTCACTTGAAATGTTTGAATGGTAATTTTGTTTCAGTAAATGTAAGCCATGGTTCAAGGTTCCCGGTCATGACATCGGTTTTGGATAGGAAATTTTCGGGCTTCATTGGTCTGGGTGTAATGCTTGTTCAGGTGAAATCGCATCTCGCCTCGCCGCCGACTGTCAGACCATGTCGGACACGGTCGCTATGAATGTGAACGTTTTCCTGAGGTATTTCAAATCACAAATCTTTCGAAATGCTTCAGTTATCCGTTTCTTTCAGAAATACTGTCATGTTGATGGGATCAATGATTTTCATGATGACCTTGTCGTGGCGACTTTCGCTAATCACCTTCATCCTAGTGCCCATTATATTCGTTGCTTCAAAGATATTCGGGTCATACTACGATGTAAGATTTACAGGCTTCAAGCTTCAACTTTATGAAAGAGTTTTTGTTTCGAGGAACACCTTTTTACACTTTCCGGTACAAGGTTATTTCTAAAGCTTTTTTGCAACCTTCTTCCTAATAAGGAGAAAATAAGGGGTGACGGATAATTGGTACGACCAGCCTAATTTAGAGGTAGCTGGCACCCGGCAGAGAGGCAACTTTAATGAGGTGCGAAAACTTGGTGCCTAGCTGCGAAGTGACCTCATTAACGAGCGAGGGCTGACAGGTCATCTTGTTATCCACATGTTGACATAATAAGTGATAGATGATCAATAAAATGACGAGAGAGGTCAATGAAATATGTATAAGGATACTCTTACCTACACAATTAGATAACGAACCGGTCCCAATTAACTATTGCGCTCTTGATACACTATTGAGGAAACTATTGCTTGGGCTACGGGTTCACTCCATGCCCTGTTTACGAGCACGGCATTCACATCTTGCATGAGGGCAAATCATCGCCTGATTTGGTTGACAGGGAGGATTTTTTAGCCGTGGTTGAACTATTCCTACCCAAAACTAAAAATGTTTTTTCGCTGACGTTTGCCTGCTTAGATGTAGTCGTAGGCGTCTGATTTCACGAGAATTACCTGTCCCGTTTCGGAGCGACAGGCGTCGAAATTGTGGGCGCCATTATGCACCAATATTGGTGCAAATTGAGCGACGTAATGGCGCCGAAGATGGATGACAACTCAGCCAAACAGTAAATGTTAGAAGAATTTCCGTTTATCAGGACCGAAAATTAAACCACGTAGGCAAGTTTTTCATCATACTTTGGTAAAAAAGTGGTGGGCGAGCAAATTGTGCGCAAATAATCGCCGGCGCACATGACAGATGCGCGTTCAAAACGAATGTGATATTGTGATCAGGGCATCGACTACACTCATAGACAGCGTTTCAGCGAAAAAAATTTTTTTTGAGTTTTTGGGGTAGGAATAGTTCAATAGTGCCGATTTTTTGTACTGAAGTCGTTGTCAACCTCACGCATAAGCTGTCCGGCGCCAAGCTGGCGCGATGTGGCCTCGGCAGAAAAAATAAAGTAGATTGATTCAGGTGACTTGGGCCGATCAATACCCTGCCTCAATGGAAAGGTTTATGGTTGGTCGTATGACGGGTCACTGGGATTGGAGTAGCACCTGCTCCGCATCGTCGTATTAGCTCACCGGCGTAACCGCAACTCTTCTGCGAATTTCCACCTTCTCAAATTACGCACGACATTGAGAGGAACCATTGGGTCCCTGGGAGGCAAGTGTTAGTACAAGCACCTGGAATCTTCTCAGGTCGCGGCATTGGTTATATGTTTCCATTACCTCCAGCAGTAACCTGTGCGAGGGGGGGGGGGAGGGGGTGAAAAGAAACTGTGGGAAAACTCGGGTGTGCAGGGAGTATCAAAACAATGATCACCGGTTCTGACCATTTATAACACCGGGCCGAAGCTATTTATTGCCAGACGAGTGATATCTGAATACCTGCGACGTAATAGTGTAAGTAGTACTTTTTACGACCGGTTGGAATTATTTGAAATAGCAACACTGCTCGATGCAGATGGGTTTGAACCAAACTTCTCTTCAACTGTGTATATTCAACATTACAGTTAGAAAAGAGCTCAGCAGAAGAGGAAGAAAGAGGAAGAAAAGAGCTCGGCTCGAAACGGCTTCTCTTCAGCAAACTTTTCACTCACTTTTTGGCATTCCCAGAAATGCGGAGCAAAAATTGAACCGAGTTTGTGATTCTTTTATGGACCCCTACGTCGTGCAGAAATTATTTTAAATGCGCGCCACGACCTCAATAACCTCAATTGTAAGCCCTCTCTCCTTAATGAGGTCACTTCGCAGCTAGGCACCAAGTTTTCGCACCTCATTAAAGCTGTCTCGCTGCCAGGTGCCAGCTACCTCTAAATTAGGCTGGTCGTACCAATTATGGCTAACTCCGAAAATAAGTAGTGGTTTAGTTCACGAAATGGTTATGACTCTTATCCAAAATAATGTTACACTTGCAGGTGCTGTCCGAACGGACGCAGAATGCAGTTGCCGACTCCAACGACGTTGCTGAAGAGGTCAGCTGTTATACAAAAACCTTCTCCTTTCTGAACTTTCCGTTTAAATAGTCCGGTTGGGATTCTTGACCTGCACATATCCTCATCTGATGCATGATGAAGCATTACGCGATCTTGTTGTGATTTCATCGATCACATTTATCACATAGAGAAGAGCTCCGAATTGGTCTTGAAGACTTACTCCGCGGATCCTGTTCCTTATAATGTGTGAGGTGAATGGGTCCGCAGCTGCCACTTTCTTCCACGGGAATAGGATTGGAGGTAAGTGACACCTGAGTGCCATCTCCACATCGCCCGCGCTGCCGCGCGGTCACCTCCCCGTAACCAAAAACGCTACCTGTCTGCGCCCTCCCACTTCTATTAATTCTCTACCACTGACTGCATGTTCGCTGCGGGATATCGGTACCGACGCAGATGCTCTACCTTGAGAATAGGCGAGTAGCAAGACGGAGGGAGGCGTCGTTAGGCGCGATGGCTTCACCGTTAGCGTTCATGTCACGACTCCGCACGTTCCTCACTTTGAATAACTCATCGCGATCACCGATCTTGCGAGGCTTTTCGACTGAATGGAAATGCATACTTGAAGCTGTTGGCATGAGCTTCGTTGCTCCTAATTCTCAACCGGGACGTGTCCTCATGATTAGTGAAATGAAAAAAAAAAAAAGTTCAGAGATTTGGAGTTATCCTGCCTGTAGGACGAGTTGCATGCCGTTTCTTGGCACGTTCACAGCAATCTGATCGCACCAAACGACATACACTCCAAGACGGAAACGGGCGTCGCTACCCTACGGCCCCGTTGACGTGCGAATTTGGCACGCTGCTACGATTGCGGACCTATTCACCTTGCTCCTGTGAAGGACTGTTATCAAGGATCAGTGTACAGCTTGTCTCCGAGCACGTGCATTGGAGGCCTAGTAAAGGGTCCAACTCGCTTCTTAAAATTTGAAATCCTTTGCTAGGCTTTGAGAAATTCCCTGTGCCCATTCCACATCCTCGCTTCGGAGATATACTTTTTTTGGATGAGCTCTACACGAGGATGGAGGTAGTGTAGTGAAAAGTGGCGCGCTTACCACTCGCGCGGTTCCGGGTTCAAATCCCGGGTCGACTCCCGCCCAGGCCAACCAAGCCTTCTACCCTCCGGGGACGGTAAATTGGTACCAGATTCGTCTGGGAGGATAAAACACTGACTTGTACATCGGCTGGCCACCGCAAGTCATTGTATAGGCCACATCGCATTCAATAAGCCACTACGATTCTGAATGGAAGTAGAATGCGTGCCGCATCCCACAAAGGGATTGATAAACGGCTAAGACTTATCCTTTTATCCTTTGAGCTCTACAAGACATTTTTTATGATCACTGGACTCGCATATAAGAACGCGCTCATGTGTGGGATACATGACTGCTATACCTGATTTTGTTGTTGTGTGAAGCAAAAACGCCTATTCTTAGGTTCTATCGACCATGCGAACGGTGCGATCATTCGCATGTGAGGAAGTCGAGGCCGATCGGTTCTACATGAAGCTGACGAAGACCCTTCACGTGACCAGAACGAAGGCGATTGCTTACATAGGATTCCTATGGGTATCTGAGGTTAGTTTTCCTTCCTTTCCTCAAGGCCCTAGCTGACACATTGCCGACACTACCTCGTTGGAAGTTTTGAAACATTTACATCTCTTTTAAATTATACAACATGCGAAAAAGGCCTCAAAAGGATTCGCGTAACCAGCACTTCCCTATACGTTTTGATTAGTGTGCGGTGAACTATGGTGAAGATGTTTCTTTATATGAACGACTTTGACATCTTTAGATGCTGTTGGTAGAGCACTGATTTATAACACTGTAAATTCCATTAGAACAGAATTTGCAACTTCCTTATTGTTCCCATGGGCAACTCTTGTCTATTCAGCTGTTCCAAACATTCATCATCGTTGCAGTCATGTGGTATGGTGGACATCTGGTTCTCAGTGGAAAAATGAAGGTTAGTGCCACGATGAAGTCGATCTCCAAACTCCTTGCACAAAGCAATAAAAACGACCAGTATACCCCATTGAGTAGAAGGAAGAGATAAACAGGTGACATTGTGATCATTCAGGAGGGTAAAGTTCCAGAATTCAGGAAACAGGAGCAGAGTCAAAGTGCCTAGGAATTATTTTGATCGTCGTGTCCCTGGGGTCCAACTTTTGCCCATAATTCAGCGTTCTGCAATAATTCTAATCATATTTATTCATTTTTTCTAACCTGTTCAATCTGTGATTTCAAGTCAGATCTGCTCGTTTCATTCCTACTCTATCAAATGCAACTCTGCGAAAACTTGCGACAGATGGGAGAAGTATGGACTGGTTTGATGCAGTCGGTTGGAGCCAGCAGAAAGGTAAGAAAGTTCAAGAAATTTTGTCCCTATCTCGTTCTAAGAAACAGTTCAGTTCTCTGCTTGTTTTCTTTAATTACATCTACGAGGAGGAAGAAATCTCATTTAATAGAGAGTTTGAATGTGTTTTGTGCTTTGATACGTTCGTGACAGCCCGTGGAAGCGTTTTATCTAGAGGAGGGTCATACATGCGGTACTTTCTCACGTCACAAGTTGGAAAGATATTATAGTTGCTTTTCGGGGAGGATTCCATTAGTTCTTGATAGCGGGCGCAATGGAGACTGTACGTTTGGAACTCACTTCAAGAATGAAACGCTTCCGTCGGCCGCAGTACAAGCAACGTAGGGCTCTGCCGCATATGCAAAGATTTACGGGAATACATGCATGCGATGGTGGCTTGTTTAAGCATTCCTTTGAAGGTGTTCGAGTACATCGATCGCGTTCCAACAATTACTCACTTCGGAACAGCTCAACCGCCAGTTTTGAAAGGACGTATTGAGTTCCGTAACGTTCATTTCAGTTATCCAACCAGAAGCAACATACCGATTCTTCGTGTGAGTATAACTTCCACTGAGCATGGACTGAATTTTTGCCCATTATTTTGGCTAATATGGAACCTTGCAGGACCTATCTTTCACGGTTGAACCGGGAGAGACAGTCGCACTTGTTGGTCCATCTGGATCAGGGAAATCTTCGTGCATTGCTTTATTGGAGAACTTCTATCAGCCTAATGCTGGTCAAGTTCTCGTTGACGGCGTACCTTTGGAAGATTACGAGCATCATTACATTCACAGAAAGGTATTTCCCATTTTCGGACGATCATCTTACTCAGGCAGTGCCTGAGGTTTTTCATACAGATTGCTCTCGTCGGACAAGAACCTGTACTCTTCGCCCGTTCTGTCACTGAGAATATCCGCTATGGTGTTGACGTCATGGAAGCGGTTAGTGTGTGCTAATACTTGTTTTTCATTCCAGTTTTTTCGTTATGTACTTCTCCTTCCTTCAAGATCTTGTTTTTCATAGAACACCTTTTTGAGCACTCACACTGCTTTCGGAGTCTATCTCCGGAGTCCATAACGTTTTCCAATAATTTTGTTTTTTTCCTCGAAAAACTTTCACGTCTGTCCTTATTGGAATTGCAACTGTTGACCAAGTAGACACAAATTTTCTCGTAATCTGCTGCGATTGAAAAAGGGAATAACTCGGATTCGACCATGAGTAACTAATTCGGTGTACTGATTACTATTCCTACACTAAACTGCTTCGATGGCTTCTTTCCCTTTTTGCGACCCATGTTACATTCTTCAAACTCATGATCAGATCAGTATAAGATGGCGGTCGTGCGATTGATTTGGAGTGGATTGCGCTACACAGTCGAGCGACCCCAACGGAGACCCTCCACCGGCAGACGTTGCACCGCCGCAACGGCAAAATTGAGATTGGGCCGCATTCACGCAGTGCCAATTTGAGTTGTGTCGTTAGGCCGCGTTCATACAGACGGCATCCGCGGCATCCGTGGCCTCTGCGGAATTTTCAGAGCAAGCAAAGTATACGTATCGATTTGGAAAATTCCGCAGAGGCCGCGGAGGCCCGCAGGCCTCCGCGGCCTCCGTGGCCTCTGCGGAATTTTCAGAGCAAGCAAAGTATACGTATCGATTTGGAAATTCCGCAGAGGCCGCGGCCTCTGCGGCCAAGCGCGAAGCGTACGCGTCGCGGTTGTTAAACAAGCAGTTGTGTCATTGAGAGTATTTTACCGAGGAGACAACAAAAATAATTTCCTGGAAAAAGGTAAGTTTTGGATGAATAGAACTGAAGCTCCACAAGTAGATTGCTAACGTGATAAGGTAACTTTCGACAATAGCAGATCTGTCCAGTCCAGTTTATCACCTCTGGCGCGAAAATATTTCTTTTTTTGCGACCTTGTTCCCACGTTCCACGTGTATCTGGGTAGTATTCCACGAAAATTAAGGGCTTATCTTGAAGATAAAAAGGAACAGCAAAGCCTTACTAACTTCTGCATTGAAAACTAGTCCTTCTTCAAGTGTTTTGGTGCAAAAACGCCCTAGCATTTATGCGCACTCTTCGAAAATAGGCAAAAACTGCTTCTTCCCACGCGGCAGGCACGCATGGCGCCTTGTCGCCAATGTGTTAAAAAGGGACACCCGCCAAGGGCGAAATTTTGCTGCAGTTGAGTTCCCATTTGTTGAGACCAGTTGAACCAGATCAGCTGAAACCCATTTTTCAAGGTATTGATTGCGTTCGAGCGTCCCCATCAAGAGGCCGCGACGCATACGCTTCGCGCCTGGCCGCGGAGGCCGCGGAGCCGCGGAGGCCACGGATGCCGCGGATGCCGTCTGTATGAACGCGGCCTTACAGCGGTGCACCGTTTAGCGGTGGTCGCCCCAGCCGGGATCGCGCATTCGCGCGATCGCAAAGTGTGGTAGCCTTCCTGTTCTCGTTTTCTGAATGAAAACAAAACTAACTCCAAGTCTATTGATCGCAATGTTGTGAACAGTAGGAACTGACAAGACATTAACTGCGAACTGGTGGCTTTCAGTCATCAAGGCTGAAAGTTTTTCTTTCTCCAGAGGAACTTGAACTACCAGACGAAACATATTTATAGGACGTGGTGAAAGCAGCTGAAATGGCCAATGCGCATGGGTTCATTATGCAAACGACAATGAAATACGAGACCAATGTTGGAGAGAAAGGCAGTCAAATGTCTGGTAAGTGCTGACTGTTATCGCTTTAGGAGCAAAGAATAGATCTTATGCTTTGCAGGCGGTCAGAAGCAACGTATCGCCATCGCCCGAGCCTTGGTGAGGGAACCGGCCATACTTCTGCTTGACGAGGCTACTTCAGCGCTGGATACCGAATCTGAACATTTAGTGCAGGCAAGTGGATGCTTTCCTTTTGCGAGCGGCGCAGTCCTCGTATACTAGTGCGTTATTGCTAGAAATTGTAAACAGAGTGCTAAGTTCGCGCTCGAACTTAACTGGATGCTCCTCGTTCAAGTTTGAGGAGTCCATTCATAGTGCAGTCTCGTTCGCTGCGGATAATGAGGCGTGTCAGCGCGGCTTTTTGGCACGCCGCCAGCCCGTTCCTCATCAGTTGCTGAAGAGATTCAGCGACAGCAACTGGTGGAAAACGACTGGTACGAACGATGCAGTCTTGTCGCTTGCTGAAAAAAAATAAAAAAGATGTTGGCGCCATGCCAGACGCAGCCCATCATCCGCACCGAACAAGACAGTGCATACCCCCTAGATCCCGTATAGCGCATGAACCAGCGGGCTGTTACTCCCAGTCAGGGTACAGCATGGGGATGTGCGAAATGGCGGTGTGAGTACGACCCCCCCCCTCGAAGAGGGTCCAGATACGACCCCCCCTCCTGCTCTAACTGACAACCAGATGCATGTTCACCACAAATGGCTTCCTGAAATGGAATCTGGATTCTCGAAAGGCGCACTCTGCTCTAAAATACAGGAAATAAAAGGCTGTTTCAGCCTCATGCAATATGAGGCTGAACAACAGCCTCGCATTACCTACAATTTTGTCTTAGGATTCAAAATAAAACTCGTCGTTCGACAACCATGTATGACATGCAACTTGTAACAAGGAACACAATCGAAACAGCGACTAATGGTGATCATTGATAAGCTGAAAAAATAGCCCCAAGGTCAGCGTGTCAGGCCCCAGATGTGCATTCAATGAATGGTGACGGGGAAATCATGAAAACATGCACGACACAACAAAGCGAAACATGAAAAATACAAAAAAATGCGGAGCCAAATGAAAAAAAGCCCAAGCGGCAGTAAATCGTTCTATATTGGCTATTAGGCTATTTATTACTTGGCTATATTCGCAAGGCTGCGACCGCTTTCGTTGGAAAAACGTCATTGGAGCGCGGTTGTTGGACCTGCCAACGTCCTGGGGTCTTTTCGGGGGTTATATCTCTTTGAGGGGCGCGGCTTTTGATGAATGGTTAGCAGCATGCAACGGGAATGTTCCTACTGTTGCGTTTTCTACCCAGTTGCAATCTGAATGTTTCCCCGTTCGTGAAATATTTCGGATGGGTTTCGGATCGGCTAGGGGTAAATGGCAAGCGGGTTTTTATGCTTCACACGAGGATTACTTATTTCGAACGCAATTTCATCAGGATTAAAATCGTCTTGAAACCGCCCTATCTTTTCTCTTTCCAATAAGCTTTACAGTTTTTCTGAAGACCCGCTAGTTCAGGAGATATTTTAGATGGGTCACAGACGCGCTACCCTCTGACCCACCCGAAAAATCGACTCCTTCTGTGCCATTGTGAGGATACAATGGCACAGAAGGAGTCGATTTCTTCGACCTTCGAAAACTTCAGTGTGCCTCCAAAACACATATTTCCCTTCAAATGAGTGAAAGAGGAGCTCGGCTATCACTGATCGATTTGGTCCGAGTGTGCGCCGTGCATTACGCTCCTACGCAGAGGTGGTGGAAAGGTGTAAATTCTAATTTCAGGTGCTTTTACCATGCAAGCAGATTTGTTTAGGGTTAGGAAAGGACTGTGCGTGTGTTTGTCCTGGACTGTCTGTGAGACGTATTATTTAGTCATCTACGTACTTACGAGTTCATGCTATTAATTGATATTTATTTATTTATTTATTCTTGCTATTCTTGCTATATTGCTAACCAATTTTTATTTTTTTGTAGTCCTCCTTACATCCGGGTCTTCTGCAGCTTTCCGTCCGTTCCATCAAACTTAGCAATGACACTTTTGATGCCTGTTTGAGCCTACTTTTGCGATACTGCCCCACGTCCCCCGCAGCCAAGTACGAACCCATTTTTGGGGATTACGCCCCACTATCAACTGAAATGTCGAAGCATTGCCCGGCTCTGAGTGACCCTTGAGATTACGACCCCCCCCCTCCAGCGGCCAAGTACGACCCCCCTATGGGTTTCGCACAACGATGCTGTACCCTTCTCCCAGTGATCCTTTTCCACGCTTTCACCTTCTTCAGAACAAGGATTTGCACATGACTCCCCTTACATATTCGGTTTGAGGACACCTCGATTCTTTAGGTTATGAATGAGCCGATCATTCAGCTTAACGGAGGCTTATTTTCCACAATAGTGCAGAATTGTGAATGTCGTGAATTGTAGTTATGGTAGGCAGACGTAAATAACAAGGGTACGGTATTCCAGGAAGCTATCTACAAGAATCTCGATGGCAAAAGTGTGATCTTGATTGCACATCGATTGTCTACGGTTGAGAAAGCCGACAAGATCATCGTCATCAATAAGGTAATCGGAAGGAACTCGATAAATTTCGTGTTCTTCGCTTTAGCTGATCGGCCCTTTTGCAGGGTAAGGTAGAGCAAATGGGAAAGCATGAAGAGTTGCTCAAGCAGCCAGGCACTTACGCGACACTTGTTGCCAGGCAAATGATGGGCGAGCAACGACGACCAAAACATCAGCTTATGGCTCCAACACACTCCAGGTTCGGTACTGCCTGCTTCATTTTTTTGAAGTGTTCTGCAGCTCACTTTTCAGGGCGGTCAGCGTCAGCGGTAGTCATCACGTTGCACCTTCATTGCTATCATCAAGTTTCACGCATTCTGCGAGCAGTGTCACTTCACGCTAACTGAACCGATACTAGTTATGCTCACAGTTTTTCAAAGTATTGCAAGTTAAACTGCCAGAGATATTGCTCACTTATATTATTGTTCTTGTTGATTGATGTAAATTATGTTATCAATATTGCTTATGCATGGTCCCTCATGATTATATCGCTGAATAGGCTTCTAGGTCGTTGCTCAACTTTCAACTTTACCAGACTGATTTTTTTGAAAAACACGAATTCAAAGATTGGCATTACAAGAACTGCCTTGTGGAGAAGCAATATATTTTTGTGGGGAACAACATTTGCGGTCAATTTAGCAGTATCGTGATCATTATGATGCGGGTCTTTTTCCAGCCAGTGGAGTGAGGAAACAGAAAATCTGGTGACGTTCTGGTACACACAGAGAGCGGTCGTTCATTAGATGCGTGCTGCACTAAAGCACGTCGTCCGTTAGGAATCCTCTGCGAGGGAGGGGGGGGGAGGGGTCGTATTGATTGCTTAAGGGAGAAGGGTCGTATTCGGCCTGAACCGGTTGCTAACCCTTTAGTGGGTTGTGCCGCAAAACTATTAAACAACTATTTTTGATGGCTGAAAATAGTAGCTGACCCCGCTCCCCGCTCGATGGCAGTTTTCAAGCAAATACTGGAAAATTTTCTAGAATAGTGGGGAAAAAAGGTAGCAAGTTCGGAAGGGTCGGTAAGATGGTAGGTAGATTGGGAATGGGGGAAGGGGATCGCGCCGGAGGGAAAAGGGGGAGGGATTGGATAGTATATCCCCAAATTTTCCCAACGGTAAGGGTGCTGGCTGCAAGCGAATATAAAAAAGATAGGAGTGTTGGTACCCAGCTAAGGGTGCCCTAGTCACGTCAGTCATCGCGGTGTGTTAAAGTGGTGTTTAAACAACTCCCTCCCAAAAAAGCAGAAGATATCGAATAGGATATTGAATTTTACATTCGGATATTGCGCGCGATCGTTCAGACTGCGTTTTCATTGTTGCACTAGGGCGAGCTATTTAGCGATGTGGTGCAAAATAGGCCAGGAGCTACGGAAGTACCCTTTTTCAAATATTCGTAATTTTGTTGAGAGTGGAACTTATGAAGAAGGGCAAGTAGCACTGTGAAGCTCTGGGTTTGTACTTTATGAATTTTGCTTGAGCGCATTCAACTATTCCTTTTCGAGGGCTTTCACACTCACTTCGTTTAGACGTGATCTCCTGAGAAACCAAAATAGAAGGTTCCTTCTTTCTAAAAAAAACACCTCAATTCCTTCCCACGCCCACTATTTGAAGAATCTCCTGTTGCCATTTTGTTGAGAGGCTTGAGTAATGTTCACAACTCGTCGAAATTGTTGAGGACTAGCTCATTCGGCGCCGACTGACGTACGCTCTGTATCGCGCCATGCATCCGACTCTCACGCAGCGGAGCAGGAGAAGTGTAACTCCTAGGTGAGGCTTGTCCGTGCAAACTCATATGCTCATACTGTCTAGAAATGTTCGAGCCTAAACTGCTCTGCTAGTTTGTTGATTCATAAAGCCGCCGTAAGCGGCTACCGTACTTCTTGGTTAATGTCGCTTGGACACGCCCAGTTTGCCTGCGGGCTTATTCTTGGGGTGCCTAGATCGCCAGATCCGCTGAAATCTTGTATATAGGGACGATTTAACATCCTGCTTAGGACACGACACTTTCTTGGCGCTGGCCCTGATGGAGTACGCTACAATTATCTTCTGCACTCAGCCTTAGCAGAGCGCGGATAATCTTCGCGTCCTCCGTTAGCCAGCGCCAAGAATGAATGTCATAGTCGTAACCAGGATGTTTCACCCCTGTGCACAAGCTTGCGGGTTTGGTAATCTAGGCTTCATAATTGAGCCAATAGCCGAAACTGAGCGCGTCCAGCAAGCTGCTCTGTCTTCAGTTCAGACGTCCTTAAAGACAGCTCCCGCGATAAAAGTCTCATGGATAGCTGCTTTCCAATTATGAAACAGCAGCTGATAAGTAATCTCCCAAAGAAGAAAACAGGCAAGAAGCGTTCTCCAGAACAACATAAACAAAATCGCTCCCTCACAGTCACACCTCCCTGCGGTCTCTGTGCAGCCCCTAGCTCACAAATTTGTGCGTCGTGGTTTTGCATCACGAAAATTGCGTCACTCGTGTTTTTTACGCGTTTCACCTCGCGAAATTTGAATTGAATGTATATACCTCCAATGAGTAGACT